GGAAACTTACCGTTAAACCAAGGACTCACTTTAAAAATGCAGCAGAAAACCTGCCAGATTCTGAGCTTAGATGATGAGAGAAAGCCTCACAGCAAGTCTTTTCACTTTTAACTGGGCTGTTCAGCTGCTGCCAATGGATCCTGTATACCCTACTGCATGCGAATGGCAAATGAATGTGCATCACAACCCTGGGAACCTGTTTAACTTCATTAAAGAGAACAGAATAGTCTGCTTGGGGTCACCTATTGCGTTTTTTGGTATCTACTTGTGCTGTTAATTTGAAGTGCGCGATTGAGCAATGAGTTCTGGGGACCCGACCGATGACCAGCCTGGCAAAAGCACGGTGAGCGAACTCCCCCTACTTTGCTTGTCTGTTGAAACCTTAAGTCTGAAATCAACAGCGCAGGATGTACCCGGATGCTCTTTGCCTGCAGCTAAAGCTGCCTTCCAGGAACGGTGGAATTTCAACTCACTCACTTGCCTAGTCATGCGAGAATCTCGGTTCCAACTAAACAGAGTAAATAAATGCAGGTAAGGCCTCTTCAATAAGGTCCCTTCTAAGAGTCCTCACCTGCTTTTGCCCCTCTCTTTTAGTGTAAAGATAGTACACTGGCCTCGAGCATCGACGCATGAGAAGCTGGAAATCGGCTACGGACGAACCTGATGCAGCTAAGGAGTACTAAGGAGAGAGTTCCTGAAACAATCAAGGAGTTCAGCCAAGGCTCTCAAGCAGCTCCTGGCCCAACTCCTCATTGAGGCTCCCCAAAGCCTTTGCACTGACAGAACCCAATCGGACAGACCCAGACCTTACCGTCCTCAAGGCCAAGTGTTTTATATATATATATGTGCCATGGTTTCATGGGTGGTTTGTTTGCCTCGGGTTTACACCCGCGTTTTTTCCTCAGCGTGTGACAACACTAAACAATTTGTTGGTGTCTCACATTGCAGGGCCCACCCAAAGGAACATCATCTACAACAAACAAAAAAACTATCTGGGCAAACGTTCGTACATGTTGTGCTCTCGTGTGATTGCCCCCTATGTGTGCCTTCATGTGTGTGTGTTCATGTGTGTGTGCTGTCATATATGTGTTCATTCATACCTCTGGCCTCATATGTGTGCTGTCATTGTGTGTTCTCACCCGTGTGCTCTCATGTGTTTGTTCGCTCATACCTGTGCTCTCATATGTGTGCTCTCATGCGTTTGCTCACATATCTGCGTGTAATGAGATATGCGTGCTCTCAAATGCCTATTCTCATATTTGTGTTATCATGTGTGTTCTCTCACACAAATCCTTTTTTGGGCGCGCTCTCACATGTGGTTTTGTTTGGGTGGTTTAATATTATATGCGCTCTCATCGGCATACGCATATCCATGAGTGTGTCACATATGTGACCAAGCACATGAGAGCACGCACGCATCAGAGCACATGTACGAGCGAGCCCACATTTGAGAACACACCTTAAACAGCACCCCTGTGCACACACATACGCACAGCAAGCGCATGAGACCACACATATGAGTTCACGGGCATGACCGAGCACACATATGAAAGCAAACACATATGAGGGCACAGGTATGAATGAGCACACATAGGAGACCACAGGCAAAACAGCACACCTGCAGGAGCACAAATGTGAGAGCAATTTTACGAGCATCCACATTGCGAAATCTGCACGCCGGGGCTCAGAGAAAGCCCTGCGCCTGCCACACAATTTGCACTTTGAGGCTCACAAAACGCGACGCCTCCCATCAGGTCCGCATTTCAAGGTTCACAAAGTGCTGCACCTGCCACGAAATCTGCACTTCAAGGTTCACAAGGCGCTGCTCCTGCAACGAAATCTGCACTTCGAGGTGCACAAAGAGCCGCAACAAAAGCAGTTCCAAAGACAACATCCTATCTCCTGCGCATGCCACTAAGTCGACTTGAGACCACTACTACAACACAAGGCTCCCCTTGCGCCTGCCGCGAAAAGTCACCACCATGCACCCACAGCGAGAGCACAGTCGACAAGAGCACGCTCTTGGGGCGGTGAGTTTCAGCGAGCCTGCGCAGTCGAAATGCACTTCGAAGATCGCGAGGCGAATGAATGTACCACAAAAAGCAGCGAATTAGCGGGACACGGATGCGAGCAACTCGATCAAACCCAGTCTTAACCCTGACCACACTGTTTGGGGAACTAGGGCTATGCTTCCAAAACGATCGTTTCTTCGGAAACTAATGTTGACATCACAAAAGTAAGAAGCCTCTCTCCCCTAGTAAAAAAGAGTTTCCCAGTTTCTTCTAGAGAACCTTTTGGTGGGAACAACAAATGATAGACTCTTCGGCTCTTTCAGCACACATCTAGAAGTGCAAAAGGAATCAGACGCAGCTTGCAAGCAGGTCTGCGTTGCATCAGGACACGGTGGCGCATAAATCTGAAGTTTGGGGGGGACCGGCCAACAAGTTGCTTCCGCAGGAAGGAAAACTGAACATAGTAGCGAACAAAACCTCGTGATCACAAGCAATTGCAAAAGTACGTCTACAGCGGCATAATCAGAGATACAGCAACCAACGATAGGAAATTTGCAATAGTGATTGCGCTTCCAGTCCATGCACTCCCAGAAAAATGAATTTCTTTGTCGAAATCAAGCTCATTCACAATGCAAAAATTATACAGTAGTTATCTATGTTGTAATCACAACATTCATCAATAATCATCAATACAGTCAGACAGCTTCCGCATGGCTTGCGCACGACTTGCTCAAGGCTTCAACACTACATACAGCTTGCGCTGCGCTCTCTTGGGGGATGGAGGAAAGAAGATACGCCCTGTACAAGTGACTATAGAAGAGCAGGGTGGGAAACTTGTCTCAGTGCTGCAGTAGATGAAATGATGAAAGGTATGGCATAAATCATGGCTCATAATGTCGTATACCTGGTCAAATTGTCACTGAATGAGTTGCTCTGTTTTGCGCAAAGTCGTTGCCTCAGTCTCCATCTCTCTGCACGTATCTCTCAAAACTTTAGAAGAATAACACTCTCTCACATCCTTGCCAATCTTCTATCCAGCATATGCTATTGCCAATGCACATTTCGGATGGGTTTAGATAGCTACGTCTCAAAAAGTCAAGCCTCAAAGCAGTGTTTCAAGCTCTCAAAACCAACCTTAGCCCATATGTGAGTGCTGGAAGAGGGCTGTTGATCCATAGCAGGGCTTTGAGCAAAGGTTCCCAAGTTGCGGTTGCAAGGGTTAATTTCTGATATGAAAATAGTAATTCTGCAATTCCTAACGTAAAGAAGAGCTGCTCTGGAGCTCTGAGGGCCTTGCATTTCGTCGTGATCCCGTGGCAAAGTCTCGGACTGCCAAGAAGAATCGCCCAGAGCTTCTCTGAAAGTTCTGAAAATTTTGGTGACACGGTTGGCCCGCAACTCCCTCAAGTAGCTGCAAAAGGATGATATTTCGAATGTCCTCCCTATCTGAACACTTCCTGTGCAAAACGCTCCAAGGCCTAGCCGTGAAATGGAGTCGAAGTCGCTATGCTGAACGCAAGCAGAGAGCAAAGAAGACACCATCACCTGATGGGCCACGATCAACACGAGAACATCTTCGTTCAACACAAGAACACTTCCCTTGAAGTACTTTCTTAAAGAAGGAGCAAGGCCATGAATCGGGTTTTTTGAGTAACCTACCGACAGTGTGGAAGCTTTGCGTAGCAAGGACACAAGTGGGGCTCAGGTTCTTCAACGAAGCTCCCTCCAGGCACCACTTTTTTTTTTGCCAGGGGCCGTAGTAAGCTAGTAGTTGGGGGCAAGTAATAGCTTATATAAGTAGCTTCTGTGACTTGGACGCAGAAGGGCTCAGGCTTGATGATGTGGTTCCTAGATTTTGGGCATTGCTTTGTGGAAAGTGCTATACTGCCTTCATAAATAACTCTTACACTAAAGTGTATGCACCCCAAAAGCAAGAACAAAGAATGTGGAATGCAAAACAAGTGTATGTATATAATAGAGAGGAAGGAGCTTCCAAATGCTTGCCTGCAACGTTGATGGTCATAAGGCTTTCTTTAGCAGGTGGTCGCAAGCCCAAGCCAAAATAAAGTAAGCAAAAACTATTTGTTGGTTTGCTGCTTGCACAAGCGCAGGGCATGCCTGGCTACAACTGCAATTTATTGATATTGAGGCTTGCCACCTCCCAACAACTCTCGCCTGATCAGGCAACTTGGAGTTCTTCCGCGACAAATCGATCAAGAGCTGAGTAGCCTGAGCCTCAGCCAAACTCTGCCACTGCCATTGGACACAACCTTGCAAGGACTCACTAAGACTCAAATGGGTTGGCTCAAATATGGCATCTCAAATGCACAGTGCCGGATAAAAGTCACCGAATAAGAAACGTCATCTATACTCTATACATCCTTCCATTGACATAAAACTCAATTCCCCTCTATTCAGTCTATGTATTGAGAAGTATTTCTATCTGTGTTGGAAAGCCTGTTGGTGTGGCAAACTGCTTCGAAGGCACCAGCGCTGGTCGTCCAGTTTGGCAGCTGCACCGCAGCAGAACCTGGATTTGGTTTTTGTGCGGCAAAAACAGGCCAGCTGGATACAAATCCTATGTTCGTCCAGGTTACAAAATCATGATAGATACAGTAGTCCTGAATACAATAAACCAATGTCTCACTAGTCTTGAGTTCGCAAATATTCACAAGTCTCTCACACTGTTCCATGGAAATCTCAAGTGTCCAACAAATTTCATTAGCACTCTAATCACCAACTCCTAAACTCTACAACTGTTACAGTAGTTTGACAGAAAGTTGCTAGTCGGTGTCCTACCGACAGACTGACGAGGTTTATGATCAAAATGGAACTGGTAACTCTGGGGTAGTGGCCGTGTAAACGATACGCCCAGGCATGCAACGATGTTTGGGCATGTCTTCAACCTGCGGTGCGGAAGGGTTCGTTTAGCTCCTGTTCAACTTTCGCATGTCCACTGAAACTTATACCACCAGAATGCAAGCCTGTTTTGGTCTGTTTAAGTCAAGGCTCAAAGGCTTTTAAGCTGACTCAGTTGCTAAGACTAAACTCGGCTTCAGACGCCCAATCTGTCTGGGCTGTCTCTGACATGAATTCCGATGTGGACAAGGTGTCCACTTCTTTCCCTTGACGATCCAAAACAATCCATTCCATATCTTGGAAGTTCGTGTAAGGCAATCTAGCTGGTGTTCCTGTGGCTTTGCGGAACACGTCCACAAGCTCTGCAAATCTAGCACAGCTCACAGGTGCTAGTTCGTGTGTCTTTTCGTGCGGGAATAGATGTTTTGCCCTATCATTGATGAAGGCAGCGGTATGTCGTGCTCCCTCCCATGCATTGTGGCCAATACTTTGCCCTGCGAGAGCAAGCTTGCACACAGCTTGGTGAAGACGCGTATCTTCCTTGATTGCTAGCCCTGAAAGCATCAAAACATTGCACTGGGTTTGAGGAGGCTAATGACAAAATGCCACTTGCAAAGGGTCAAATGGTAAACACAGCAATCGTTTTTGTTGCGAACTGCGCTATAGCCAAGGCAAAAAACACACACACACAAGAAGGCATGCCAAAAAAGGTATCTAAGCTTCGTCGACAAAACTCCTGAGGCTCATCCCATCCGCTGTTACTTCCTCGTCCAAGTGGATTGTGCGAAAGTCTGGCGGGTCATCAAGTGCATGACTCGCTGGGCTTGTTGGTTCGCAAAGATACTTGGGCATAGCCTCACCAATGGAAGTCAAAGGTTCAAGATGGTTTGTCACCATCATGATACGATCAAAACAACATGATTGAAAGAAAAAGCTCTGACCCAGGGGCATGAACTTTCAACTTATCCAGCTCCTCTGGCTTGAGTAGTGCACGGGCTGCAAGCGGGAGCCGTGCAAACTGCCTCCAGCACTGGTCGGAGTCCCTCCAAAGGTGGAATTGCTTCAGTGTCGCTTGTGGGGTCACTGCACTGAGCGCTTCAGTCGCCATTTTGCAGGGAAGTTCTGTTTGTCTAAGCTGATGGAGAAGGCTTCGGCATTTTTCCAAGAACCTTGCACGTCCCGGAGGTGCTGACGGGCGTGGCAAGACCTCATAGGCTGCCATCAATGCCTTGATCTTTTGGGTGATGCCTGCTTGCAGCTGTGGCAATAGCCGCTCCAAATCCAAGAGAGCAGCTTGATGAACTGGAAGGAAGCTGACAAAGCTTGCATAGTCTTGCACTGCTGCGAAACAAATCTCAATCCGTTGAAGGAGAGCAGAGAGCAAACAGTAAAGACCATGCAACTCCCAGAAGAAGATCCAAACCTCTGACAGTGAATTTCCAAGACATGCATTCTGGTATCTCAAAAAGAGGAACTGTATTGATTTTGATGTTTGAAAGCAAGGCTCTTGAGCTCTTTGACCTTCAATACAAGGGTGAAGCCTTTCACCCTTACCACATCTATGGAGTTATACCTTTAAAAACTGCTGTTTTTGCCTGGCTTCTGGCAAAGCCTTGCCTCTTGGCCCAGCACCTGCACTGCTTCCAGTGAGAAGCCCGTCTTCAAAGCAGTTTTCCGTCCCCAAACAATCTCCTTGCACGATGTTCTGAACGTTTGAGTGTGTTGCTCCAACAGGCTCAGGGAATTCTTTACACGATGCATGAAAGCAAGTCAAAATGTAATTGGACCCTGGTCCTGCAGTTCCTGAAGCAGCTCTTGAATATGATGTCTGGCCAGTGGTATGGACGAGACACGGCCAGGATCTTCAGAAGCCTGGGTGCATCAGTTTGCTGAGGAATTCGCTGCAGCGGGGCGAGTTTGACATGTTTTCTGAAATGACGTGTTGCTTGGTATAATTCAAAAAACAAGCAGTTCAAAAGGATGCTTTCCTCCTCAGAGCATTTGGAGAGGAAACAGCCAGCAAGGAGATCCACCTAAGAAATTGCACACATCGTTGAAGACAGCGAGCACACACGAAGAATTCATCTGCTTTGGCATTACTAAAGAATATATTCGCTTTTGACCGGACTCGAAGTGCAGATTTCGTGGAAGGCGCAGCACTTTGTGAACCTCAAAGTGTAGATTTCGTGGCAGGTGCAGCACTTTGTGAACCTCCAAGTGCAAATGTTGTGGGGCGCGCAGCACTTTGTGAACCTCGGAGTGCAGATTTCGTGGCAGGCGCACCACTTTTTGCTCTCAAATGCTCTCACTCTCTCTCTCTCTCTCACACTTACTCACTGACTCACTCACTCTTCACTCTTCACTCTTCACTCTTCACTCTTCACTCTTCACTCTCCACTCTCCACTCTTCACTCTTCACTCTCACTCTCTCTCTCTCTCTCTCTGTCTCTCTCTCTCACTCACTCACTCTCACTCTCACTCTCACTCTCACTCTCACTCTCACTCTCAC